TCTCTTTTTTAAACTTATTTACTTTAATATCTATAAAATATCTACATCTTGTATATATTTTTATTATATAAAAAATATGTCTACAAACACGTTGCTACTTATGATATAGCTAAAGTATAAGGAAGTCGGTAACGGTTCGTTAATATAACAGTTTGTTCACTACTATTGAAAATAGACTTGAAAATGTTGGTAAATAATAATACAAAATTTCAAATAAAAATCTTTGTAAATATGTTATTATTAAAGATACCGGAACCATTTAATATGAAATTTGTACACTGTCAATAATTTTTTCCAGCATAAATAATTTTCAACGACCTATGAAATATGATTAATTAAGGGAATTTTTGTTCAATAAAATAAATATAATAAATAAATAAAGCGATTAAAAAAAATTGCAAATAAAATACATGCAATTCTTGTAGCAATATATGTATATAAAAAAAATAACAAAAGCATTTAAACTTATCAATTGTTGAAACCAGCGTTGTTCATTAAAAAAAATAATAACAATTGACTACAATAGTGGTATTAAAATTATTAACTTTATCTCAATTACCATTTTTGTTTCTAGAAACTTGTATCGTATAAAAGTACTTTCAACAATTTCTTAATACTAGCTTTTAAAAGGTAATATGGAGGAAAATATGTATATAAAGAAAATCCTTACTTTGATATATATAAAACTCGAAGTTGTTTGTAAGTGCGATCATTATAACAGATAATTTTACTTGATAAAATATTACAAACAACAAAAAGGAACACAGATCAATGAGCCAAACTGTAGCTTTTAACTTGTAACGGCGTGCCGCACCACCGTTAATTTCATCCTAGGTTTCCCCATGCAAACTGTTTGTCTTTGATATTCAACATTATTTCTTTTTATAATTCACCTTCCGTAATTTCAAATTTTGACTTATCTAATATACTTTTTATGAATGTGAGTTCGTAAAAAAATCATCTGTTGTGAACGTGATAATGTAATTATTTTAATATAAAAAATTAATAATAATTAATTTAATATAATTTAAATAAAAAAATGTTTATCTAAAAGTATATTTTCATGAAATGTCGTCCAAGTTAATATATTACAGGAAACCCAAAAAGAGTTTTTTCTTTATTACCGTTTTATAAACCAAGTACTTAAACTTACTCAGCCTTTCATTCGTTCGCCAAAGCATCGAACCACAAACAAACTGAAACTCATTTCGAATATGCATCTAATTCAACACTGACAAAATTCATAATAGGTATACTTACTTCTATAGAACTCATTCTATTCTGCAGCATAGCAGTGGCGAGCTTCGGCTACGTGACACATTCGAGGCAAATGACTCGCTAATTAAATTTCATTGATTCAAAGCTCATTTGTGAAGTACGTCGAATGCCTACATATCAGTGGCGCTGTAGTCGCACCGAAATGGGAATAGCGCGTATTCGCTGGACGGGAATGCTTTCAACTCTCGTAATTCAGTTAAACGAGTAATTTATGACTGGCCAAATTACTGGTGTGACTGTGTCCAAGCCGATCAGATGCAGATCTTGATAACTGATGCTACCCATATAAAATAATAAACTTAGTACACTAAAATAGGCTACAGAGTAATGAAAAAGTAAAATTCCTTTAAAAATAACAAAATGAGGAATCTACTATTCCTAACTATCTGCAAATATATAGAGTCTGAGATATCCCAATCTATAAAATACTCGTACTTTATACAGATATTTGTGTAAAGTATTCTAAATTTACTATAGCGACTATCTGCCAATGTATTTAAATTTATCATGTACATAGTTTTGTTGACGTTTCAACCTCCATGAATTTTAATTTATTGCAATACAAGTAGTATTGTAATAAATTAAAATTCATCGTGTGAATAAATTTAATTTGGTTAAGCAACTTCCTAGAAGCAATGTCAGGACTTACTCGTACTTATATTAAAAAAAAAATGTCATTTTGACTGAACTTATTTCTTTTAACAGTGACACACTTGTTAATGTAATTATTAGTACTTCATATAACACAATATGATAGTATGATATAAGATAGTTGGGTTATAATACGAATAAATATTCACATGACAAATACTCCAAACAAATCAATACAATACACACGCATGCATGTCAGGTTACCACATTATGTTAAATTTCTGCAATGTGTTTTGACATCTGCCCTCAACGTATTAACGTTCAAAATCGGGAAATTTTTATAGTTCTGTACTACCTGACGTGCTGTTGACTGTACTTTAGCAAATATTTTACGCAAACGAAAGTTGTATTTTTTTTTTCAAAAATCAAATATTGTTAAACAAAAAATATTTTATACTTAGCTTCACTCGGGCGAGAATTAGTTTCGTCATGATTTATTTAGCAGAAGAAGTTTTGTGGCTTTATAAAACCACTTTTCCATTATATATATTTTTTATTTTTCAGTGAAAATATTATTCAACGATGTTTCAACTGATTACTGATCTATTTTTTATGAATAAACTACTGATCTAAATCATACCATAACCGTACGCACAAAAAAAACTTTGAAATCGTTCAACAACTGTAAAGAATATTATTTAGAATTTATTTGAAATAACGAAAATATTTTGGAAGATTAGAATTGTATTTCTTCCACTTTGAAGTCATTTCAAACATCGGGATGAATATATTATTATTTTTAAAACAAATATAATTGTATAATCAAATATTAGATTCCAAAAATAATTCTAGAATAGTGATTCATTATGTAGCCATAATGAACGTTGAAGCCTGGCAAAGCTTACGATCTTTTCCGCTTTAAAATTCCAAAATCTATTCTGAGCTTAATATCTAACACTAATAAAATATAAAATAAAATTCATAATAAATGAAGCTTTAAGATATTTTGGTAAGCACATTGTATTATTGTGTGAATTTCTCGGGCACTAAAAATGTGCTCGAATTAAAAAAGTAGTAAATAATAATTTAAAATTTTCTTTTTACAATGTTAGTTTTTGGTGTCATAACTAATAAGTCTTAGCTAAAATGTATGTTTATTATAATTATATTATTTACTACCTATGTACATGTAATTAGCGACCACACGATAAATAATATGACATACAGTGATTAACTGATACATATTATAAAGATATAATTAATCTCTTCATTTTAATTATTTTAATTACAAATACTGCATTAACTTTAAAGACATTTAAATCTAATCACAGTATAGTGTCAATAACTATCAAGCAAATGATGTAATAAATAACATATATATACGACTAGTGGCCGCCAGCGACTTCGTCCTTGTTTGCCATTATTGTTTCACTCCTAATAGTTGCAACGTGATTTTATATAGCCAAAAGCCTTCCTCGGTAAATGGTCTATTCAACACAAAAATAATTTTTCAATCCGAACCAGTAGTTTCTGAGATTAGCGCGTTCAAACAAATAAACAAACACTTCATCTTTATAATATTAGTAATGATAAGAATGCCATGGTCTCTTGAGTGACAAAACCCTAAAAAAATAAAGAGAAAAAAATCTAATCATCAAACATTCTAGTTTTGTAAGTACTTTATTTGAAAAAAAGTGTTTACTTTAGTGTACATCACTTACACGAGCGATTTTTTTAAAAGATTGTAGGTAGGGCAGTGACCGTATTATTACTTTATAAAAGTATTTTATAATATAGGTACAATAATTTTATTTTAAGATAATGTTTTTATCGGAAGTTTAATGAAAGCCATAGAAAATCTTCATCTAAAATAATGACTTTTTTATAATAAAAAGTTACTATGTGTATGACGCTTTCTAGAAACTAGACTTCTTTTAAGAAACTAATTTTAACTTACTTTAAGATATTTGTAACATTTGTGTGCTGCCGTGAATGACTTTAAAATATCTGTCTAATCAATATTTTATTTTAAAAAATAAGTCAGTCGTGTCCTAAAATAATGTGAACAAAGTTTTTTTTTATATTAGAGCCCCGTGTGAAATTTATTTTCCAAAAGGCTTCCATCACTAAAAGCTCTAAATATATATTAAGGCGAATGAATAAAATCAATCTCTTCTACTGGACGAGAATTAATAAGGAGAGAATTAAGGGGATGTTGAAATATCGTTACAAAGTGCAAGTACGTCAAGTCTTTTCATACATGCTCGCATTTTCTTATGACTTTTGACATAGCCTTCCAACAGCATGGAGCCTATTTGATCGTGTCTTGACCTTCCGCTGCTTCTACATCCTACCACTTTAAAGTTGTACATATTTTTTGTGATTCTTTAAATTATAATATTCTGTCATCTGTCATCCAGATTAACTTTATCGTGCTAAAAAGTTACCCCAAGAGTGCCGGTTACTCACGCAAATAAGTGAGAAAAGAATACGAGGAACTTTTATGAAATTCGTTTAATTTGTACATTCTTGATCTAGGTATATCATAAAAACTTGAAGAAAGAATGCTAATTTATTTAACTGTTTTCGTATGGAGTCTGCTACAATTTTATATTAAATAAAAAAAGAAAGCTGTGCTGTAACTGTACTGTAATAAAAAATGTGTTTCTGATATTAATGAATACCGTAAGTAACAAAATATAACATGTTTGAAATAAACTTATTTTAACATTTTGATACTGTCCTGCTACATTTTGGTTTAGTAAACGATAACGTAAGGAACGTAAGGAGGTGTTGTTCTATTTCGTCAACGCCCACCCGCCACTCATAATAAAATAAATATAGAAGAGAAATGTCGGGCTGTTTCCTTCGACCTTTTTTTATGTTACACTTTGTTAGTATATAAATTACAACAAAATTTACTTTTTGGCATTTTTCACTATTCTATTATTAATCAATTTGTCAGAACCTTAACGTTAACAATAATTAAATTTATTTTGTAATAGACATTGAAAACGAAACTTCGGAATTGTAGGTATATCTCTTAACGGCTAGTTTAATTAGAAGTATTAGCCAAATGAAAATAACAATACAAATAGAAAAACAGCACAGCACACGAGATTAAAACCTACCTGAATTAGTGAGAGTGTTATCCCCTAAACCAGTGGACGTGTCTACATCAGCGCTTGCAACGGCTAACAGCGCGCATGCCCATGCGCAGCTCGCCACCACAAGCCGCGCGCGCTCACCGCCCACGCACCTCTTATCCCTCAGTCTAGCCATAGCACATCACAAACTTTTGTTCTTTCTAACACCAAAGTACAACTAGAACTGAAAATGTTTCTTAAAGTTATAAACAATGATAAAACTTTAACTCTCTGGTTGAGGTTCTTTTAGTTAGTTTATTTTGTGTTTGAGCATATGATCGCGTAACCAGCCTAGTGGTAGAGCGCGCGTGTCGTGTCGCTGGCGGCGGCGTAGTCGCGACGACACTGTCCGTTAACATCGCGGGCGTGCGGCTCCGTCGGCGTCGCGGCATCTCCGCCAGCCGCGAGGAGGGCCACTGCGCGCGCACAACCCTCACCCACCAATCGCAACGCCGGGGGAGGGCCCGCGCTCAAGATGCACGGAAGTATATGCGAAGGCCTATGTACGAATGATAGCGGACAGGTGGTTTCGCGGCCGTAATTAGGCCTCTGATAACTTATTGCTACATAAATATGCTTAAACGTTAGACGATTAAGATAGCGCCCGAACACGAGCCCCGGACAACCTATTACTAACAGATTACCCGTCCGCGCCTACCTGCAGTACTGGAAGCATTTTAATTTATTCTAATAAGATTCCCTCGAAAACTTTCTTTGCGAGCCATGTTAAAGACGAGAGCTGTAGAAAAAATGTTTTGGTTGTTCAAAATTTGTGTACGGTAACAAAACAAACTTTATGTTGATTTTTGCCACTATACTGATATTATATTACATATATAATTTTTTTTCGCCACCATAAACACACATACCTACGCACTTAGATATAATTAACATTGATAGATAGAGTATTTAAGAACTTTGAGAAAAGTAAATATTATAGAGAACTTTTTCAACCCTTCAAAATTCTGCGGGCATATAATTAATATAAATAAATTCTAAAGCAAAAGTTTAAAATAAAATTGATATAGAGCAAGATTAATAAAATCAAAAACTTGAGCAGAATCAAATCTGAGTGTAATGAGTGCAAAATCTAATATTTTTACGGAATTATTTAGTATTGACAAAGGCATATTTTTCATAGTTTCTCCATTTATTTGTGTTGCAGTTGTAAACTATTCAGAAATTTCTTATTTTATCTATTGATAAATTTCATTTTTTTTTTATTTATTTATATTTAACATTCACGATACCTGCGATCTAATTTTAGAAAAACTAATTTAAAAAAAAACTACACAGCCAACCCGAAAAACTATTCTAAAATATTTTCTCTGTGTTTTTATTACCCAAGTATTATTTGTTACCCTAGAGTTATTGGAGTATATACAAATTAAATTAAATAAATTTTATTTAATCAGCTCAACGTCAATATTATAAATTTTTTTCGTCTTTACAAATATAAATTACAGGAATCCCTTCTTTTATATTCTTAATATAGGTTCTTTTAATTTGAACTTTGGTCAAATTTTGTAAAAACAAAATTAATACAATTTCAAAGTTAGCTTTTTTGTAATATCTTACCTGTCAACATAAGCAGTCCGCTATGTTATTCTGTTTGTAGCCTTGAACTCCACGTCGAGCGCAGCGCTGTGACAGAATAAAGCTTCAATAAAATTACACTTTTATTACCTTTTCAAGTAGGTTTTGTTTGTTTAAACCTCTATAACCTCAATATGATTAAATTTCACTGTTGTTCTTTTCAAACAATAGTTTTTTGTATTATTAAATGTAATGAAAATATCATTATTCAAGTAAGCTTATTTCAAGCACTATTGAATAGTCCAAAAAAATGTTTTCCTCTACCACGTGTTCAGGACGTCTTTTAGCTGACAAGAAGAACAAGCGAAAGAAACTTACCAGCTCTTTATCATAAGTAATGACATTTACATAAATCATGTCCTTACCAATAAAGTATGTAATATCACAATAATAAATACAACTTTCAAAGTCTGTAGGACATAGTTTGGTACATATAATTAGTCGTTATATAACAAAGCGAAGGCTATTAATTCCATTACATGAATTTTAAATTTATTTATGGGTAGATCAATTATATGAGACGGAGGTACCAACATACATATAGAAAGAAAATTCACGGCTTATTTATTGGAAAATCTCTTTTTCCAATAAATAAGCCATGAATTTTTAATGTAGTTAAAAAGAAATAATTGATGCGATTTCAACAACTTCCAATATACTTTATTTTTGCTAAATTTTATTAGAATCAATCAAAATTAATCAAAATTAAAATAAAACAATGAAAAATGTGCTTTCTTTTAGTGTGGCTGGAGTGTAAAATGCTCTTAAACGCTATGATGCACAATTTCATAAACCAAAAATTAAAATAATAAATCATAACCATAGAGAAAAATAATAAATACTCCAATAAGTACCACAAATAAACATGTCAATATGTCAATACATTTTTTTGTTGAGAATATTTTTCAGTATAGCATTGTGAATGCAAATTTGATCAAATACAATAATTAGACTTTATTTTTAATTTCGCACTAAGGCCTTTTTCTTCTTTACGGCGGGCTTATACAAAAGCGAAATGCCTTAATTAATGGCATTTAGTTTGGCCCCAACACTAACACACTTTTAAATGCGGGTGTACCGTTTTGAAATCGTTAATCGAAATTATAATCAATCAGGTTTTTACAACATTTTTTTTTTTAAATAAGTGTAATGGCGTCGCACAGATGCTTGTTGAGAATATTTTAATATCACCAACATTCATTTTCTCCGAATCCTTTCAGCGGTTCTAGAGATATGAGGTAATAAAGAATATTACATACATACCTACACACAAGATATGCGCGAAAACATAACCCTTCTTTTGCAGTAGGGTAATAAAATATTTTCAACAACTAGACAGCTCTGGTCCTGTTCATTATAAGTTTTTACCTAATAAGGATTAGGAAGACACCGCCTCAGCACGTCAGGTTACCTTAGTAGCCTAACTAAGGCTGTAATAAGTCAAATTTCCGCAAGTGATTTTATACTCTACTCTCAACATATTAAGCTTTAAAATCAAGTGGACAAATTTAAGTTTTGTATTTTGTACATTAAAAATACACTTTTTACTTGTCTTACTCAATAAGTCCAATGTTGTAGCGAATTAAAGCGATGCTTTCAGATAAAAACTTTTTTTGTGACATATTGTCTTTACAATAATTTCAGTTCACATTATGTATTAAAAATTATTGAATCTAATGGTTATTATTGAAACCGATAGAAGACGTTATTCTCTGCTGAATAGCGCTATTATTTGTTTATTTTTAGAACCTGGGCGCGACACTGAGCTGGGTCGGCCATTTTGTTGTTCATTGGATGCCCCGACATTCTTTTAAATACTTAATAATAATATTCTTTATTGCATACTAGATCGGACATATAACAAAGAAGTTAGATAAAAGAAATAGAAAAAAGGCGGCCTTATTGCTTTAATCTCTTTCAGGCAACCCATAACGAAGAAAAAGATATAAATAAATAGAGGAGGGGGGTGTAAGACTAAGAAGTAAATAGAAATATCTGAATTATGTAATAAAAACATAGTAAATCCAATAAAGACAGAAAATATTAGCTCATTTATGATTAACCTGCATACCAAGGTTGCCTGGAAGAGACCACTCTTAGTGATAAGGCTGCCATTTGTGCGTCTCCTTTCTACAATTGAAATTGTAAATGTTATGTGTGGACAATAAAGTATATTATATTATAGTATTAGGAGTTATCAAGGAAGAGACAGCAAGTGAGTCTTCACTTGAGCAATAAATCAATACAGACTGGAAGCTTTCTTAATGTCTTCTGGTAAGGATTTCCACAGGTGCACAGCGTGCACTGAGAATGAGTAGGAAAGGAATTCAGTAATATGACGAGGAATATTAAGGGTTAAGTTTAAGAAGAACGTAGAGAGCACTGTAAAGGAGACACGAAAAGAAAAGCATATTTTTAGGTAAGGAGAAGACCTAGGTAGGAATACGATAAATTGAGTAACTTTAGAGTATGTCTCTGCGCCAGCGAACAGGGAGTCAGTTAAGTTTAGAGCGGAAATGCGACAAGTGATCGTATTTACAAAGATTGAAGATGAATCTGATACACATATTCTGCAGACGCTTCAGCTTAATAAGAACTTCTTCAGACAGAGGGTAGTGTTACAATAATCAGCGTAGTCAAGAATCGAAAGCTATTGAGTTTGTACCAGGGCAATTTTAGTGTGTGTGGGTAAAAAGTTAAGCAGTCGGTTTGTTGAACTATACGCAGCAAATATTTTCTTTCTAACTAAATCCAGATGAAGCCTCCAGGAAAGACATTGGTCAAAAATAACACCTGATTTCGTAACAGGTAACAGGAGGAATGTAACAGGAGGCTACTGCCCTACGATTCTGTAAAAATCCAAACATGAATTCGAATAAACTCAACTTCCGTGGCATATGTGAAGTGAGTTTCAAATTACATAGGAATAGAATATTTGAGACACGTATATTCAATCAATTTGGTTTTGTATTTTTATACAAAAAGAAAATGAATCAATAGAATTTCTTCACAAAATGACGTGATTTCCGACACAAGTGAATCCGAATTCGGGTCTGGACTTTTACAGAATCGTAGGGCTGTTCAAAATCGATCCTCAAAACGAAATAAAGATTATGGTTTGCGTCTTTGAAGGGTTGACAGTACTTACTTTAGTTACAAATCATAGAAAAGTCATAATTCATAACAGCCACTGTATTGGAAAGATCCACCAGCGACGCCTGAGTATAAATTTGGAGATCATCGGCATAAAGCTGATAGGAACTAGAAAGAAATACCGTCTTTACTATAAAGGCACTAGGGGCCAGTGCCCAGGGCCCCCATCTTCAGAGGGCCCCGAAGAACCGACAATTTCTCTCACATTTAATATCAAAATATTATAGTCGGGCGCATTACACTTTTCTCATTTCACGAACGTCGATCATTTGCAGATTTATTCAAATCAATACATTTATATGAATAATTTGAGTATTTCGTACATCATTATAAGTTACCATTAAAGTTTATAATCTTAACGTCTATTTTCAAGTTAAATAGACAATTAAAATAGAAAAACAAGAAATTTGAAAATTTGAAAAATACAATAATATTTCTAACTTCTCCGGAACTTCTACAAGTTTCCAGATTCATGTGGTTAAACAAAAACTAGATACTTGACAAAAAATATTTTTACCCATAAATTGACGAAAGGGTCTCTAGACAGAAAATGGCTCTTATATTCCCCAGGAAAGAAATCAATGTACTGTTACTGCTG